TACGTACGCACGTACGTACGTACGTACGTACATACATACATACATACATACATACATACATACATACATACATACATACATATACTATGATGTGTGCATATGTATGGGCCCGTTGAGCATCCCCCCTTTGAGCCTGTCCCCCCCTGCTGCTGCCCCTGCCAACAGGGGGGGCTAAGGGGTGGTTGGCGAAGCAGCTGATCTTCCTGACGCCTCCCTGCGCTGGAGGCGCAAACCTAGAAAGGAAAGTAGACAAGCGCGTTCCACGACTCGCACAGTAGATACTCGCAAATGGCCTGGATTTATTGCACTCAGTTCTCAACGGCGAGCGGGGGGGAGGTGAGGAGGAGAATGCCTTCTCAGACGGCGGCGGGACTTCTCAGGGAAGCCCCGGCCTGCTGAGAAGCGTTTTGCGTCTTCGGGGAAGTTCCAGAAAACTTCTGAGCCTTCCGAAAAGGCCCGCCCCTGTTCATTTCCCCCCTGGGTTCGCCGCCGACTTTCCTATCTTCCTCCCTGTCATCCGACGCGAGTGGAGACGACGCGGAACATCCCGAAGCACCGCCGCAGAACTATGCGCCCCCGCGGTCGCAGCGGCAAAATGTGTTCGCTCCAGGCCCGCCGTGCGAAGCGAAACCTGACTCGTGACCTGCGCGTGGCGATCGTTCTTCGGGCTCATCGGCAGGCTGCAGGAGGAGGAGGAGGAGGAGGAAAGGGAGGAGGATTCGGGCCATGGGGGGGGGCAGATCTGTCCACAGCAACCGCAAGCCGAAGCCGCCGAATATCGATCCCCCGGACGGCGGTTAGGGACAACTTCCCGTTCCAAACACTGCGTTCTCAGCGGCGTGCGTGGCGAATCCTCCGCAGGTGGACACGGGCCAGCGCCGAACCGTTACACTCTGGGCCGCCGCGGTTCCACTGCACGCGCCCGAACATACGCCCACAGAAGAATACCTTGCCTCGGGCAGAAAAAATGCCCAGGGAAGGATTCGCGGCACCAGCTAACATGTCATCCCTCCCCCTCCTCCTCCTCCTCCTCCTCCTCCTCCTCCTCCTCCTCCTCCTCCTCCTGTTCCTTTTCCTCCTTTTCCTCCTCCACCATCTCCCCCGCCCCACGCCCCCCCATCGTCATCCAGGAGCTGTAAGTGTTTCCTGCACTCCGTTTTCTTCCACCTTCCCCTCCTCCTCCCGCATCCGCCTTTTCCTCCGCCTCCTCCCCATCCACACCCATATTACCGCATCCCTCCTTCTCATCCTCCTGCTCCTGTTCCTGCTCCCGATCCTGCTGTTCCTCCTCCTCTTCCTCCTTTTCCTCCTTTTCCTCTTCCTCCTCCTCCTCCTCCTCTTCCTCCTCCTCCTCCTCCTCCATTTCCTCCTCCTCCTCCACGTTATCCTCCTTTTCCTCCTCCTCTTCCTCCTCATCCTCCTTTTTCTCCTCCTGTTCCTCCTCCTCGTCGTCGCTCTCCTCCTCCTCCTCATCGTCGTCCTCCTCCTCCTACTCTTCCTCGTCCTCCCGAGTGATAGCAAGTGTCTGGAACATCGGCCGAACCTGAATGCGCGCCGGACCTGGGCTGCGTCGGCACGGGGCCGCGATCGAACCAGGCTGGCCGCGCCAGGACGCACCACAAACCCACGGATCGGACTGGGCAGGCCGATGTCGATATCGAGTCGCACCGATCGGGTCGAAACTGGGAAGCCAAAGAGATACCGGCACTGCTACAACTGGGGCCCGACCGCAAGAAACTTGCCACAAGAAACCCAACCGTGAGACCCCAGGGCGCCCCTTGATTTTTGGCGCGGGAGCGTCGCGCTCTCCATCGCAAAACCCATCGAAACCCCAAAACACCGGAACCTGGACGCAAGCGGGTTTTTGTTGGCCTCCACTGCGTCGGGTCGAGTCGCGCCGGCCCGGTCGATACTGGGAGACTAGAAGGATACCGACACCGCTTCTCCTTGGACCTCTCCCGAAGGTGAATTTTGACCAGAGGCTGGCCGCGGCGACGGGGGCCTCCCCAGAAGGCCAGAACATGGCGAAAACGAGGGAATGGCATCGGCGTTGGGACCGGTGCCGTCGACGGGACAGGCGCGGGCGCTGATTTGCACAGCCGGGCCTAAACCTAATGCCAATGTGCAGTCGGATCTAGGCCAGAAGAACGCCCCTCAAAAACATGAGACCCCCCGTCGGCCAAAAAAACAGAACATGCAAGGGCGCCGTCCCCAGGATGCACAATAACGTCCAACAAACACGAAGGACATGAACGCACCCTCCCCGAGCCGAGCTCGATCTTATACCTCGGTCCGACGGTCCGGTCCGATTGTGGGGTCCACCGAATTCGTGCCAGATTGGCATCTACCTATCATTTCTCTCGCCCGCTCGCGCAGCTTCGCCTCGCCCGCGCCTGGTGCGCGTTCACGAACGCCGCCTGGGCGGCACAGGGGAGGGAGGTGCGGGGGGCGAACAGGCAAGGGTGGGCAGGAGGCGAGCAAGAGGAACATGAACACACGTCGGTCGGAAGAAATAGGTTGAAACATAAACAAAAAACGGATAAACTAGGTTGGGTTCAGGCCCTCCAAGAGAATCCGCCGGCCCCCTTG